CCTCCGCATTCTCCATGTGCCTCAAGAGTACAAGCACATGATACTTCACAGACCAGGGTAGCACCTGCATTATTACTCTGTTGTGAAAGTGGATTTTGAAAGAGATGAGTTGCTTAATTCATTCTGCAGGCTTGCTGAACCCTTCACTTCTCTGAACCCAAGGAGTAAGTAGTGCTAATCTGCGATGACTACACTGAGGTCATTACAGACTGCCTTCCAGGAGAATATACAAAAGGAACTAGGAGAGATTAATGTCTAACTCCTGCTTTTAATCCATTGCAGACAAATCTGATACCTATAGATCCTCTTATAAGGAGCTCCTCGTTCCTTTTGCTTAACGTAAGGTAATTCCTTTTAAAATGTTTCTTTATAGAAGAAGTGGCAAGTCAGAACTGCTCTACCACTTCCAGTCCTGCTTGTGTTAAGTATTTTTTCCCTGAATGTGCAGTGGAAGATTGTCAGGCCAAAGAAGTGTTCAAAGAGGGATTGTCACTTCCTATCACTAATGCACAAATTTTGCTCACCAAGTCCTTGTACTCTTAAAAAGTTCCCTTCTTGACTGTGCAGACTGTCATTAGAAACACTGGAAATCCAAGCATTAAACTTCAAAACCAGAGTAATAGGGTTTACAGAGAAAAACTCTTACGTGGAAAGTGAAGTTGATACTCTCCTTCATACACCTAACTGGTGAATCTCTCTCATTCGCTCCATAAACAAACGAAGCTGGTGATACAAACCTACAATAGTTTAGAAGCTGTTAATTAATACAATTGTTATATAGCATTAGCATAACTTTATGCTCCATACTATCTCCAGTAAGACTGGTTTTAAGAAAATACCCGAGTTCATGTTTAAGTAAATCTAGGAACACTGAGAAGAGTTCTGCCTTGGTACTGTTTCTTCTTGAAAATGCAGACAAATCATTATAAGTCATAAAACCTCACCCAAAACTAGGCTCCATGAATGCCCCATGATAAACACAGAACACTGTCCATGTTAAGCAAGGAATCTGAGGATCATCCATGCTCTTATTTAAATACCTCTTTCTAGAAAATAATATTCTAGTTCTTAAAAAAATTATTGGTCTTAATAGCCTCATGTTAGAGGACAAGTCTGAAGCACCACATTGTCATTGGTCTCATCTCACAGGAGTCGGGGGGGGTAGGGAAATCTTAGTGCATGGGTCAAACCCCAGGATAGACTGGACCATCTCATTCCCAGGATTTTTCAGTTATGTTATGTGTCTGCTTAAAAACTTTGGGAATTTAGAACAGTGACAAGACAACAGTTGTATGGCTGTGCAGGTATAGCAACAGCTGACTTACCCATGAGTATTTAACTCAATCTCATATCTTAGCAGTACAGGTAAAGTCAGTGTGTTATCCAGCGACATGTTCCTATCTTCATTTTTACTATAAAAAAAGGAATGAGAGAAAAGAGTATGAAATGCATCATCATATACTATGCATTATTTCTATAAACAAATATTAAACAACTTTTGGCTTATTAAGACAAAAATATTTTATCTGTCACAACATCTCAGGGAGTAAAAAAACCCATTTTATAGAGGCAGAAACCTGCTCATTTTTATTAGCTGTTTTCTGTCTGTTTTTTTCCCCCTTATTCTCTACACAGATTTGCACAGTTGGAAGAAGGACATCCATTGCTTTGCTAAGACTTTCTGGTGTTCCCTATTCTGTTTTTCAAAGCTAGTAATATTTTTTCATTGAGCGATTTTTAATAGGCTTTACCAGGTAGCATTAACGATGATGCTGAGGTCATCTTCTGCTCTGGTAAATGAACTTGCATCCAAGAGGAAACTAAAATCCAGCTGTAGGACAAATAACATTTTTTTTAATATTGAATGATAATATGTCTTAGCACAGTTTAAATAAAAATATTTTAATAAACTAATTTAGATTTTCCTGCTTTAAAAAAATTCAGAACTAAGACAGTACTTGCTTGTGTCTTCTACTCCCTTTCTGTTGACCTAACACATTTGTTCACGGCCTAATACGAACAATGTTGGCCCTTAATGGATTATTCCAGAGGGCATTTAAGCAACTAATTTGAAGAGTAGCAGAGATTCAGATACCAACATGATAAAAGATGCTAGTTGAGAATGAAGGAGAGATTTTGAAAAACAAGCTTCCTCTCCCTTCCCTCTGAAAATCCTTAGAACATATTTAGGGAGTTTTTAAAGCTAGGAACTTCATACATAGCTTACCTTTGATTTTTGATCAACATATAAATAACCAACGCTGCACTCAAGTGTCACTGTATGAATTTCTTTATCTAATACATCGCAATATATCTGTTTTTCTTCCTAAAATAAAGAACAAATTATTAGTGATTAAAAAATCCCTGCTTTTTACAGACATTTCAAATTACAGGCACACACTGAAATTGGGTGGCTTTTATCTCCTGATGTTATTTCTCTGATACAAAAATACAAAACAATCATACTATTCATGACTACTTTAACATATCCTTATACTGATTACTGTATCCTGCTGCTTCATCTCCTGCATGCTATTAGTGACACTAAGGTGCAGCATCAGAACCAGACCCACTCAAGTTTAAAGGCACCTCTGAAAGGTGTCAGGAGGATTCTACACAGGCAGCAGTTACTTTAAAAAGGCAGAAAGAATGACTACACTTATGACTTCTTTGTGAGACTGTATCTGTGATTCAGCGAGATCTTTGTGATCACTGAAAGCATGATCATCAGATACAAAGTAGCAGTATCATCCTGAAATACATTTAGAAGCCATTTTTTTTTCAATTTTTGTTGTTAGCATCACATGCAGTTATTAAACCGGTGTCACCTGTACTGGTTAAATTGTATGTGATTTAAGGTAGCTAGAAGTCTGAGAACTTAAGAACTGAAGTTTTGAGAGATTTTTTTGGTGTATCTATAGGTTCTTAGTATCTAAAGAAACTCAACAATCCATTAACAGAATTTAAAAAATGTCTAGCTGAAAAAGAAATATATCAAAGGATTACTATTTGACAGATTTAATTGTTCTTACCAGTTCTAAAATTCGGATGAAATAAAGACCTTTAGGGATTTGAATATGGAGGACAGTTTCATAGGCATCATCTCCAACATTAAGCAGCGAAATGTTCAACAATAAAGTCCTCATACTTCCAAGAGCGAGATATGTTTTCTTGTCATGGGGCCTACAAAAATAATAGTCAGAAGTGAAAAGTAACTCTATATGCAGCTGGTATGCCAAAAATCCTCTGCCACTGCTTTTTCAGTGAATTGCATTCGGTTCTGACAGAGCTCGGCTGGATCATTAGGAAAAAGTGTTTACTCAGGCCTGCAGCCGAAGGTACGGCACCAGTTAGGTGGTGCTCAGCTCCAGGTCGTACTCTTTAAGGCCTAAGGTTATTACTGCGAGAGCCAGAAAACTGATCAGACGGGCCCTCTCCTCTGAGGGCGAGAAAAGCAATGTGCTACTGCCACGGTGTTTTCAGACGTTGCTTTCAAATTCGCTCGGTGTACTCCAAGCGTAGGGCTGAGCTAATACGAAACGGGTCACAAAGAGGGCAAGCGAATATGCCTCTCATGAGCTACGTAACGTTCTATAATCACGTTACAAGTACAGACACCCTGTGGGGGGGCTAAAAGTAAACTTCAGCTTGACATTAAAGTTTAATTAAGACTTGTAGAAAGGCTGTCTAGAAATAGACATTTATCAGATATTCTGGCTTGAAACCAAAGCATTAGTCACTGAACACCTTTGGGAAAGGAGCTGGCACTTAGGAAAGCAACAGAAGGTAAAAGCACTGCATAGGCAGATAGGTGCCAAGACAAAAGCGAATTAAAGAAAAACACAATGTTAACATTTCAGCTGCTTCATTAAGTTTAGGTTAAATTTTAAAGTTGTTTGACTAGTTCTATGCTTGCCGTTCAGTCCTCTCATATGCATTAAAGCCAAGCTCATTAAGATGCTGCTGTCATAAAGATGCCTCCCAGCTTAACACACAAGTACACAAAAGCACCAGGTGCACATCTGGGACTACAACAAAGCTGAACTAGAGCTTTTCCCTGGTAATCATATTTCATTCTTCATTAAAAAATGCATAATGTGCATAAGAGCAGGCCAAAATCTAAGCAATTTAAACAAAACATGATAGTGTATACATGGACTCGTAACTCGGTAAGTAAAGCATTACACTGACACCCCTGTTTGATTTGGTTCTTTTAAGACTAAAAGTGTTTGCTTTGCTGTTCAAGGATAATGAATGCATTCTGTCTAGACAAAATAAATTAACGCTTCACAGCTAACTAGTTTTTAATCGAGATTCTGGGGGCACAATGTAATTTAAGGTGATACTTCACACTTTATCAAGATATTTAGCCTATTTATTTACACTGAAAATCTGCTACTGGTACTTAATGCCAAGCAGGTATGAGGTATGCTGTAATCTGTTTTCCTTTCTTAGAGCTTTGAAGTATTCACACAACTGCGTTGCTAATGTCACAGATGGAAGTGCTGAACCATCCTTCTCTCCAAGTTTATGATCGTTAATAACCTTCAGGCCCAAGCAAACGAAAGGGCTTAAGACTCCTGCTATGGGCCACGCCTTGACGTAGGCAGGAAGATACTGATCTCATTGACACCGATGAAGATGAAGGAGCTTGTGCTCAGGATCACACGTGTGTGATTAATCCGCATTATGTGACTGTCAACACCTTTTGGTGCATTTTAGCTTGTTCTGTAAGATAAACCTGGTGTCTCCATTAAAGTGGAATCGACTTCAAGAGTGATAAATTACAGAAGAAAATTCAGGTCACATACAAAATGCACAGGTACAATTTCTCTTTTAGCACATCAGCAACCCATATTTCTGGCTCTGAAGTATAATAATCCATAAAGAAAAAGCTTTTGGTGATAAAACTTAAATCATTAAAATCCATTCTGAATAGAAACAATGGTGCATGGTTTAATTCTATTTAGCATCACCTTTATAAAGTTTTAAGTTTCACATAGATTTGCTTGGTGCAACACAGATTCTGCAAGACAATAATAATTGCATTTAAATACTCTGAAAGTGCACTAATTATCTTGCATAACTACAGGATATAAACATGATACCTAATTGGAAGGAATGGGCCAAACTGAAACATACTGGAGTATCTAAAAAAATTAGGGATGTATATATATATATAAAAAAAATGTCACAAAACAAAATTAATTTTGGAAAATGTAAGCTAATT